GGTCCGCTCTGTGTCTGCTGAGCTAGCAATGACTTCTACCTTTGATTCTGGGCGTGCGTTGGAGTACACTTCACTGGTTTACATCTGATGAGCTAATGTTGTATTCCTGCCATGAAGTCAGGCTAGTCAAGCTGAATGTTGTTTTTTAGTTAACAACAACAAACCAAACCCAAAGTCAGCAAAAAGAAATAAATAATAATACCAGAGCAAAAGACCAGAGATAAATGATTTCTAGACTAAAAGAATGACAGATTATCCACGAGACACTGTCACTGCAGGGTCTGGTCACCCATGCACTGGTCATTGCAAAGCTAAGACTGACAAACCTTTACACACCCTAACCCAAAGGAAGAGAAAATATCTGCAGTAGGTAAGGGAGAGATTCAGAGAAGGTATCATAACAGATGTCACTAAAATTCAAAAAATTAATGGGGAATATTCTGAAAAATCATTATATTAAACTGCAAAATTCAGAATAGATGTTTCTGTATGTGCATGACTTGTCTCAATTGAACTAATTCGGTATAAAAACACAAACAGATCAGCAAAGAAGTCAAGTGGTCACAAAAAGTCTCTAATCAAAGCAAAGCCCAGAACTGACTGATTAACTGCAGACTTTTATTGGACTTTTAAAGAACTGATACAGCTGTCCATTTTTTAAAAAATTATTTTTTTATTTTATGTGTATGCATGCGTTGCCTGCATGTAGGTAAGTGCACCCATCTCATGCAATACCTGTGGAGGTCAGAAGAGGCTGTCTTCTCGCCTGGGACTGGAGTTACGGACTGTTGTTAGCTGCCATGTGGGTGCTGGGATTTGAACACGGGTCTTTTGCCAGAACAACTAGTTTTCTTAACCGCTGAGCCATCTCTCCAGCCCCATACAGCTGTTCTAGCTCTTTCATGAAGCAGAGAAGAAAAAAACACTCCAGCCTCATCCTCAGAAGCCAGTATTACCACAACAATCTCAATAAAGAGGCATAGGAAAGAGGACGTGGCCCAGTTTCCCTGAGGAACATACATGCAAACACCCACAATAAAACTCTTGCAAGTCAAATTCAAATCCATCCCTGACTCCTCCTCTTTCCTGAAGTTCATGGGGCCTGCTGGAGGCGCAGTGCAGAGCCCTACTAGAAGGCTGTGGAGGGAACCAGGAACCTGCCTGCCTCTGCCCTCTCCCCCGACCCCCTCTTCTACTAGTGGCCACAGCTTGCTGAGTCTAGAAACAAGGTAACCATGGGTGAGTTATTCACTGCCACCCAGTGCCCGTTCCTTTTCGCAGCTGGAGGAATAACACATCTTTCCAAACTCTTCCTTCACGCCCCCTGTACACCATTGTTACCCACTGGATCCGCTCTGGGAAAGGCCTGTATGGGAGCCCACACCATGGCAGGTTTTCATGTTTGTCTCACCCTGATTTTCTTCCAGGAAGGTTCTTGCTTATAGGCCACTCACTGCCTCAAAGGCAGTGAGAAGAGATGTGGCCATGGGTTTGCTGCATCTTTTACCTTCTTATCCTGAGGCATGAGGGTGCTACTATGAGGGGATGTTGAATTTTATCAAATCACTCAGTGGCTGGGAGTGACAGACCACCTTGCATGCAGAGCAGGCTGTGGCTTATGGATGAAAAGACTACTTAGAATTCTCTCTGACCCAGTGGTAATGTGCTGGGGCGACTCAGGGAGCAGCCTCAGGGATTAAAGGGGCCTGAGGGAGCAGGGTGGGAGACCTCAGATGGGACCTGATGGGAAGATGGGCCCTGAGGAGACCTTCATGAGGACCACATTCTGGGTGAGGTGTCTGCTCTGCTCCTCACCAGGGCCCCGCCCACGTCTCTGTGGTCTTTGCTTCCATTTATTTATTTTCTCTAAACCAAAGGAAATAACCAAAACTAACCTATTCCTTTGTTTTATAGGAATTTATTCTCTTTAGCTATATTATTGCCAAAACAAATCTAAGAAAAGATATTGTCCCGCCTCCTTAATGGAAGTGTAGGTCATACACATGTGCTATCAGCTCAATCTGCATCTAGCATACCACAGAGCAAGCAAACACAATAGTTTCCTATTTCTTCCCTAAACTTTTCCAACTGACTTTTGCTAAATTCTCGAGGACAAACAACTTCTCCTGGTAGAGATTAAATGGAGTATTCCGCAAAGATGTGAACGTAGAAATCAAGGAAAGCAATTACAGACTGGTAACACAGCACATACACTAACCTTGGGTTAAATAAACTTCGTTTTGACAAATTCATGGACTATCTCGGTAAACTCCACCTCATCTGTGTCCGTGTTGGCCTCTCCCTGCATCTGCACCGTGCTGCGTCTTCTGATACTAGTACCTTTTAGCAGACAGTGCCGATGCACTTACTTAAAAACACCTATCGATTAATTTTTCACAACTATTTCCAAAGGAAAATGCTCTCACGGTGTTTGTGAGAATAGGGGCTCTGAAGCTCATTAAGTTTGCCGAGGACCCCAAACCATCATGACTTCTACTTGGTACAGCTGACTCTAAATTGCTAAGGACAAGACCTGGGAAACACTGAGACCTTGGCAAACATTAGACCGAGATTCTGCCCAGCCTCAAGGAAATCTCTGAGGATGCATTGCTTGGTTGGTGGTGTTGGGTTGCTGTCCCAGGGAACCACACAGCTCTGGAACATGGAGAGTACGCCTAATAAAACCTGGGGACTTTTGTCAGAGCAACTGCAGCTCAGAAATATCTTCAGGTTTGTAAAGAAAGTCCATGCAACTCCCCTGGCTTTGCCCATTGCTGTTTATTAGAACTGGCATTTTATATAAACAATAACAGAGATGTTAGAATTGAAGTTAGCAAACGGAGTCCAACAGGCATCTGATGAAAACACCACTGACTAGAAATCAACCTGCCTGTGCTGTGGGGCTAGGACTCAGGTGCATGGGGAGAAGTCTGTACAAAAATAAGGGGTTTTCAGTGGTGTGTGGAAACAGATAGGTGGCCACTCCCGACACAAAATGTCAGGGAAACTCGGAAACTGGCAAGTAGGTTGGTCCAGTAAATTAATGTTACTGGGATCCTTTTTTTCTGGTCTTTTTGAGACAGGGTCTCCCTTTAGCCCCAGAAGACCTGGAACTTATCATGTAGACCAGACTGGCCTCAGTGTCATAGACCTCTGCCTGCCTCTGCATCCTGAGTGCTGGGATTACAGGCGTGCACCACCAGGCCGGCTACAACCAATTCTTTTAACAGCACTTACTTTACATTGTTTAGTTTATGTGAAATCTGTATCAGAATAGTTTATTGTCAATATTTTAATGAGATCAATATAAAGACACCTCACCCCGTGTTTCATTACTATCATCTGTGTTGAACTCTGAGAGAATTGTGTCAAAGTACATCTGTGGGTTGATCTCCTGGCTTATGAGGTAATAGAAAACAACGCCATGGCAACAATGTGTGCAGAAATTGGGCCAACTTCCATGGTTTCAGGAACGCAGGGAAACATGGTACTTAATACATTTAGCACACAATACTGTAAAAGGATAGAGAGCTGTTAACATTTAGAGAAGGAAAAATCAGAAGTTGGCTTTGACAAGCATGTTGGAAAGGCCACTCCTAGGCTCTGTCCTGCAGAAGAGCTTGTAACACCAAGCACCGTGCAAAGGTGGAAAACCACCAACGGAGCCCCAGCAGCAGCGCTGGCCTCACCTCCTGACCTGCCAGACAGGCCTGCCGGGAATCTCCACCCCATGGGTGAGGGTGTGTGGATGCCAGCCACTGCCAGCTGTGTGGGGTGCGTCAGGTAGCTGTTCATCCCAGAGTGCTGCCGACACCACCCAGTGGGCGGGAGCCTTACCTTGTCGGGATCGGTGGTCGTGATGACCCACACGCACAGCTCAGAAATATCTTCAGGTTTGTAAAGAAAGTCCATGCAACTCCCCTGGCTTTGCCCATTGCTGTTTATTAGAACTGGCATTTTATATAAACAATAACAGAGATGTTAGAATTGAAGTTAGCAAACGGAGTCCAACAGGCATCTGATGAAAACACCACTGACTAGAAATCAACCTGCCTGTGCTGTGGGGCTAGGACTCAGGTGCATGGGGAGAAGTCTGTACAAAAATAAGGGGTTTTCAGTGGTGTGTGGAAACAGATAGGTGGCCACTCCCGACACAAAATGTCAGGGAAACTCGGAAACTGGCAAGTAGGTTGGTCCAGTAAATTAATGTTACTGGGATCCTTTTTTTCTGGTCTTTTTGAGACAGGGTCTCCCTTTAGCCCCAGAAGACCTGGAACTTATCATGTAGACCAGACTGGCCTCAGTGTCATAGACCTCTGCCTGCCTCTGCATCCTGAGTGCTGGGATTACAGGCGTGCACCACCAGGCCGGCTACAACCAATTCTTTTAACAGCACTTACTTTACATTGTTTAGTTTATGTGAAATCTGTATCAGAATAGTTTATTGTCAATATTTTAATGAGATCAATATAAAGACACCTCACCCCGTGTTTCATTACTATCATCTGTGTTGAACTCTGAGAGAATTGTGTCAAAGTACATCTGTGGGTTGATCTCCTGGCTTATGAGGTAATAGAAAACAACACCATGGCAACAATGTGTGCAGAAATTGGGCCAACTTCCATGGTTTCAGGAACGCAGGGAAACATGGTACTTAATACATTTAGCACACAATACTGTAAAAGGATAGAGAGCTGTTAACATTTAGAGAAGGAAAAATCAGAAGTTGGCTTTGACAAGCATGTTGGAAAGGCCACTCCTAGGCTCTGTCCTGCAGAAGAGCTTGTAACACCAAGCACCGTGCAAAGGTGGAAAACCACCAACGGAGCCCCAGCAGCAGCGCTGGCCTCACCTCCTGACCTGCCAGACAGGCCTGCCGGGAATCTCCACCCCATGGGTGAGGGTGTGTGGATGCCAGCCACTGCCAGCTGTGTGGGGTGCGTCAGGTAGCTGTTCATCCCAGAGTGCTGCCGACACCACCCAGTGGGCGGGAGCCTTACCTTGTCGGGATCGGTGGTCGTGATGACCCACACGCAGTGTGCGTTGTCCTCATACTGCACGGGGTAGTTAGGGGAGGTGATGGAACCACTGGGTCCTCGCAGGTTCGATCCACAGGTCCTGGCTGGAAGCAGGTAGAAACAAAACCGTCTGATTTGCCAAATGGGAAGAGGACATCTGGTGAGATGTCAAACTTGGTTTTTATAACATCCTCACTTTTTTTTTTAGTTAGCATACAAAGTAGTGTCATTATGACATTTAAAAATAATATTTTTATCAAATCTTTGAGAATCTTCTACAATGTATTTGATTATATTCACCTACCTCTCACAGGCAAACCCAGATCCCCTCTGCACCACCCACCCAGCTCCCAGTGCCCCCTTTTCTAAAAAATGTGTTCTAATTGAATTTTTTGTGTTTCATACAGAACATCTCAAACAATCTCAGTCATCTTTATATACCCGTCCCCACTAGCACCCTCCCATAGCCCGCCCCCCACACTGGAACCCGTATACTCTGTCATCCCTGTTGAGGCCCACTGTGTCAAGTCAGTGTCCCTAGACGTTCCCCAGTACAAGTCCATCCACCGAGGTCTACTCAGTCTATCTAGAGTCCCTTGTTTTAGGAAGCTCAGCTCTTCCTCACCTAGCAGTAATCAAAAACGTCACAAAAGGCCAAAGTATAAAGATTAAGAGTCTGCAGAATGCTGGTCCTTGGACAGGACCCCTTTATTAAACTTCACCCACTCAGGACTCAGGGACCATCTCAGAAGAGGGGACAGAAAGATTGTAAGAGCCAGTGAGGAGGTGCAGGACCATATGGAAACAGCGTTCTACAAGCTCCTGGGACCTTGTTCGTATGATTCTATGGCAATGGTGTCAGGATACACAAGTCCCATGCAAACTCAGGCAGACAGTAAACCAACACAGAGCTGGGCAGATGAACAGCTGACCCAATCTTAGCTGAAGAAGTATTGGCAACTGATTACTGTCCCGCACTTTTTAAAGCCCATCATGTCCAGGCTGTGTTGCTCAAATACTCTCTGGTGTGTGCTCGTCTCCTAATGCTGGTCGACCTGCCAGGGGACACGTCTTTAAGGAAAACTCCCTTTCCCTTCCCCAGCAGTTCCCGAATGCCAACTGCTCATCAGCTAGAGGACTTAGTGCCCCACTGCTGAGATTTGGTTTGGCTTGGGCTTCTGCCGGTCTTAAACATGTCGTCACAACCACTGTGGGTCAAGATGTGCCACTGCCCCATTGTGTCAGGAAAGCACTGTTTCCTTGTAAGACCTCACAGCCTCGGCTCTTGTGATCTTTCTGCCCCCCACCCCACCCCGCCCGTCAGCAGCACTCTGTGAGCCTGGTGGGGAGGAGTGTGGTGATTTCATTCTCATGCGTCCTCACGTTTACACCTCACTTCCACATCCTATTCCCACAGACCCTTGTCTACTTTCATGCATATGCAGATACTGAACCTAGGTCCCACGCATGAGAAAAATACACAGGCTTCTCTCTTCCCTTTATCTCCTGCTCTCCTCTGGACCCATCAGGTCTCCTCCATCTACAGACTCCTGGTTCTATATTGCTGTCCCATGCATGTAAAAAATACTTATTTTTAAATATAGATTCTGTACATGAGAGAAAACACACGATAGTTTAAAAAAATCTCATGTATTCATTTATTTATTTATTTATTTATTATTTATTTTGGTCTTTTTGAGACAAGGTCCTCCTGTAGCCACAGCTGGCCTGGAATGCACTATGTAAACAAGGACGTCCTCAATCTCACAGAGATCCGCCTGCTTCTGGCTCCTGAGTGCTGGGATTAAAGGTGTGTGCCACCGTGCCTGACTTTATTACTTTTATTTTATGTGTATAAATTTATTGCCCACATGTATGTAAAGCATACCCGTGTTGTGCAGTGCTTGTGTGTTGGGGAACCCTGCACTTGTGTAGATCAGAAATGGGTGTTGAATCCCCTGGAACTGGAGTTACAATGGTTGTCACCTTGTGGGTGCTAGAAATAGAACCTGGGTCCTCTGCAAGAGCATCCAGTGCTCTTAACCCCTGGGCCATCTCTCTAGTCCTGATAGTTTTTGAAACAAGATTTATTTTTAAATGTATGTGTGTCAGGTGGGGAATGAGCCCTTGAGTAAAGATGACCATGGAGGCCACGGAGGTTGTCAGATCCTCTGAAGATGGAGTTATAGGTGGTTGCGTGCTACCTGGCATCGGTGCTGGGGACTGAACACAGGACTTTTGCAAGACCAGCAAGTTCTCTTAACCATGGAACCACCTCTCCAGTTCCCATAATGTTCGCTTTTAACGGGTCATGATGAAAAGTGGTTAAGTGCTTGAAGCTCAACTTGACAAGCGGCTCTTTATGAACCTTTGGGGCTCTAGATTGATGTTCACAATGTGGACTGTGACATTTTGCCGTAGTCTCTCTGCTAAGCCATCAGTGCTCGTAGGGTAGCCTGGTTGGTGACAATACAGTGCAGAAAGTCAATATCAAATCAGTCTTTTTTTTTTTTTTCTGAGATGGGGCTTCTGTGGCCCCAGCTGTCCCGGAACTTTCTATGTAGACCTGGCTGGCCTGGATCTCACAGAGTGGCTGGCCTGGATCTCACAGAGTGGCTGGCCTGGATCTCGTGCCCCTCGAGTGCAGCACACAGGCTGCGTAGTTTCAGCTCCCAGGTTTCATCCCGTGAAGTTCAAATGAGGGTGTTGGATGGACATAAGTAACTATCATTTCCTTTATATCTTTATTTTCCAGCTGAACTGAAAGAGCAAGTCAAGCAGAGTGGCTGGCCTGGATCTCGTGCCCCTCGAGTGCAGCACACAGGCTGCATAGTTTCAGCTCCCAGGTTTCATCCCGTGAACTTCAAATGAGGGTGTTGGATGGACATAAGAAACTATCATTTCCTTTATATCTTTTATTTTCCAGCTGAACTGAAAGAGCAAGTCAAGCCTGAAAATTGCAAAACAAAAAAAAAAACATCATGTGGTATAAAAAGAAATGTTTGAATCGCCCTCTTCTGCAAAGTTTTCTCTCTCCGAAACAATAGAAAATTCAGAAATCTAACACCAGCACGACTTCCAGAATAGACAGGCAAGGGGATCTCTGTGAGTTCAAGGCCAGCCTGGTCTGCATAGTGAGTTCCAGGACAGCTGGGGCTACACGGAGACCCTGTCTCAAAAGACCGAAAAAACCACCTCACACTAGGTGTGGGAAATGAGGAGAAGAAACTAATTGTACCAGGAAGTGTGTGCAGAGTTCTACACTTCGGCAGCATCATAATTCAGCCCAGTTACGTCAGTTGAGGCTCAAGGAGGCAAAATTTTGTCAACACAGTAGGTCTTCGGACTTTGAAGAGCTTATGGGAGAGTCAGGAGCCTCCACTTGCCCCAGCCAGGAATGAACACTTCCTTCTTCTGTTTATAGTGATATTAAAATGATTTAAATGGTGCCTATTCCTGGAAGCAGTGGTAGTTCACTGCAATCCCTTGTTTGCAGAAGTCATGATCCTTTCACTGTGATTTTCGTTCTTCTTAGGCTGGGATGCTGAGGCCTCTGTTTGCTTGATAGCAGATGCTCAGCACCAGGCATGTGGGCTCTTGTCCTTGACATACACTTTGACAGGATCACGTTCAATAACTTTTCAGTTGCTGAGTACTTACAGACATAGTTAACTAAAAATAGTCAACTATACATTCATAAACATGCTTAAAATAACCTTTGAAAGTACCAGTGTTTGCAGCCTAGCAGACTGGTTTTTAAACACTGGTGGGCATGCCACAGGCAAAGGCCACCTGGCAGAGCTGCCTCCAAGTGTGGACCCTTCCTAGATGCCAATCTTCACCCTGTGATCTGTCTATTTTAGGAACACATTCTCAGAACAGATCATGAGCCTCCAATGTGAAATCTGCCTGCAGTATTCCTATATTAACAATATTAGTTAAAAAGTCTTAAGAAGAGTTACCACCAATACAACTTGGGGTCTGGTGCCTTTATGTGGCACTTTGTAATATGTATAATTCACAGCTCTATAAATGTAGTGATGGTTATAGATATGTGTTGATTTCATTGTAAATCAGTATAAACACAATGACATTCTAATTATTTCAATATTTAAGAAGACACACCTACAGACTGTATACAGTGGGAAGACAATTAGGTTTTTTTTTTTTTTAATGTTGCACTCCTTCAATCCTTTGTCCCTCTGTCCCCTACAGGAAAGCTCACAGAATAAAGCCCTGCATCACTGTGTGACCAAGTATCTGCTTTGAAGCTTGGCCCCTCACTTGACTTAATAAAACTGGACTCAGTACTTCAAGAAATTTATCTCACTCATTGCTGGGGGAAATGATTCTTTCAGTGATCATATATTTTTATTGAGCTGTAAGTAAAATATGTGCAGGAAAGCTACACATCTCCACATTTTCAGCATAGATCGCTATTTCAGATGAAGAAGGAATCCACTTCCATTAGACATATTATTCTGTAATGGTTGTCAAATAAGTCCATAAAATAACTCATCTTTATATAAATATATGTATATATGTATACATATATACATATATATGTTCAGTATATTTTAATAATAATTTTTATATACTTCATGCATAGCTTTATCAAACTACCAAATAAAATTGTGGGAATATTTAGGGCAGAGTTTTTCCATCTGTAAACCTTGGCATTTATCACAGATTCTAGCAGGTTTCAGTTTCCTTGGGAAATGTTTGTTTGTTTGTTTATTATTGATTTTTCTAGAAGGTATAACCAACTGAAGTCACGATTGACTGTAATTTATTCCCTCTGAGGAAATTTCTGGCAAGTTCAGTTGCCGCCCCTGTGTTTGCCTCCTAACCATCCAATCATCCTCCCCACCACTCAAAGGCAATTTGTGGGCTACGTGTTCTTACATCACAGTTTTATAAGTCTGACATAAAATTCAGTTTTCACACCGTCAAAGCTGTTTAAGGTTTAATCACCACTGTCCTCCATCAGCTTCAAGCTCTAAGTATATTTTTCCAAGGTATTATAAACTAAAAGTACTTTTTAATTGAATGTAATCAAGGCCTGGCTATATATGTATATCTGTAACCCTAGCTACTCAGGTCT